ATTTTGAAGATAAACTTGAGTTAAATAGTATTAATCTATGTTCAAGTAGCAAAACATGTTTGTTTGTGGTATTGCTTTTGTTTTAGAAAACTATTATAAGCCTGAACTTCAGAAAGAAAGCATGTCAACACTATTTATAAGCAGTTTTAGCATCAAAATGTTGTTTGAATGCTATTTCTAGATCAGTTCACCGTCAGTCCACAGATGTGGCATTTTATTTATTTATTTATTTTCTTCTCGCATTGATCCTGCTTCAGCTTTTATTTGGCACCGCTTCTATTTGTGCAACAAATATAGATCAAGCATGTGGCCATATTGTGTTTGAAATGTCACTTTTCTAATATGCATCCGCGGGCGCAGTGCTCTCGGTAGCATTAAGCGGATTTCTCCTGCGGTTTGCTCTTCCAGCACCCAGAGTAATGCCAATCTGTTCCTGCTGAGAAATCCTCCATCACGCAGATTCAGAGTCTGCTCACCCACAACCCGGCCAAAACCCCCCCAAAAAAACGCTTCAGGTCTACTTTGATTCAAATTCACAAGCTCTTGACTCAATGCTTGGATTTTTATATCCCTTTACCTGCCACCACCCTGCAAGCAGGACACTATAATGCATTTAAAAGTGACCTATAATGTCCCTTTTTACAAGACTAATAAAAACTCTGACATCCCTAGAGCGTGTAATTTAAGGTTCAGCTCAAAATAGCTCACAAATAGTGTTTTATAAACTCTTCGGGCCATTTCATACACCCGGCGCAGTGTGGCGCAAGGTGCGGCAGACTTTTGGTAGTTTCAGCTTGGCGCAAGAGTTATTTTGAGGCGTTGCGCTATGCTGTTTAAATAGCAAATGCATTAGCGCTCATTTGTGCGCCAATTGGTGTTCTGGTTTAAAAAGGGAGGCGTTCTGAGGCGGACCGCTGGCGCGTTGCTATTTTGAGAAACTATAATAGATTTTTCATTAGACCAAAACTAACCCGGTCTAAACTCCGGTGCAGAGTTGCGCCTCGCTTACACACTGCTTAATACACACAAGAGAGCAATAGGCAAATATCTTTACATATGAAAAAATTTTAATATTAAGAATAGATATAGGATATAATAAGAATAGATATAGGATATAAATATAAAGGATTAAAATATTACAAAACATATTATTTTCTAGCCTACACAAATATGAAAAGTCACTGCTTTTATGTCTTCTTCATCTCGGGAGACTTTTTCAGTTCATTCATAACAATTTGCTTTTGTATAATGTTATTATTATTAGCAGTATTATTTATTATATCCATAATTATATTTGTTTTATTAAAAACAAGCTTAGATTTGCCCACCTGTCAGGTTTTAGACCATAAGGGGCATGGCATGTGTTTTAGGATATAACTCAGGTTTTTGAAGACATTTTGTTATTATTATTCATTTATTTGTTTGCTGAAAATTAAAACTGAATTTAGAAATAGTTTTGAAACAAATATTTGCGCTTAACAAACAAAAGTATTTATTTATAAACTAATTGATGTCTGTGCTTAAAGGTTTCCCTATCCAAGAGCGAAAGTGAAAGTAGATCCATTATCTCTCATTCTTACGCAGTAGATGCTCTGTTTAACAGTTTTCTGTTAACTGTTTGCTAGTGAAATGCTGATTTTTTTCACTTAGACTTACTTTGCGTCCTGTAAATAGCGAATGCGCTCTTGGCGTGACGCAGCTGACTCTTAAAGGGAATGAGAGATGAGACTCTAATTGGTTTATTCTCATAACACACCTATAACTCATTAAGAAAATAAACTTAACCCTTTCAGACCATGCGCCACGGCGCAAAGCAGGTTTACCCGTCCTTAAATTAGCAAAAACGCGTCCTGACACGCCCTGAAAGCGTTTGCGCCCTGCTTTTCCTTTTGCGCTCTGCGCATGGACCGTCAAAATAGAGCCCTTCAACACTGCCCCTTTTAGGCTTTGATCCACTGTGTCGTTTTTGAGACTGTCGCTTTAAATTCAAATGAGATTGTGCACTTTTCAAAAGAGGGAGGAGCTACAAAAGCTGGTGTGTCAGCATAGAGGCATATTCAAAAACAAGACTGACATCCTATGCTAATGAGAAAGAGATTGTCACTAGTGGGCGGGGCTTTCCTCCTCTGATGACACGTACAAACAGAGAATGTCAATCAAAGTGTTTCTGCAGACCGTTTTGATGAAGTGTGATTATAAAACAAATTTAATTGATCAATTTTCACTATTAGAAGCTGGTTATATTCACAGACTGTTGTCACACAACTGCGTTTAAGCTCCTAATAAAAGTGATTTTTGCATAAAAGACCCCCTTAAAATACTAATCTATTTATGACAAACTATGTCACTGGAAATGCCTAAGACTTCTGAATATCCAGTTGTTTTTTTGTCATGTACGAAGAGTAATAGACTCAAATGAATTACTGTCATCTGCTGAACCAATTGCTTAAAACTATAATATTGTAGTCTAAACAAAAAGCAAACTGTATTTCGTTTGATCTGGTAACTGGATTTTTGATAGATATTACTGAGCAAGAGCTATTTATTATTTTTGCCACAGGGATACTCGTATCGTAAAGCATTATTTTGCTACAGGGATATGCCAGTAAACTTTGTTTAGATGTTTTTAAGAGGCTTAATTCTAAGACAAAAATGCCCATATAGTATTGTCAAAAGTATGAACAAACATGGTTCATAATCCTCAAAACATACACATAGAGTGTGTGCTCTTATATAGTCCTAATTGGGCCAAAACTTTCTCTGTTCCATTCAGCGAATGGAATCATCTCTGATGACAAATCTTAGTTTTACAGATATTTTGTAAAAATGTTTTGAAAATTTTCAAAAACTCAATACACTCTGGGCAAATTTACTACCTTTTCATTATATTGGGGGCTATTTTTGCCCCGTTGACTTATAAATGGCAAAAAACTTTTTGCACAGGCCTATCTAAAGGGATAATGGTTACTGATGATCAACAGTAAAAAATGACACATTTTACCTCTTCAAAACAGGGAAAAACCAACAATCAAGAATGCATGACTGTATGCTGTCAGGGTTTTGCAGTAAAAAATTACATTACAGTACTCAACAAATGTCGCATATACAAGTTTTAGGAACGACTAATATTAACTTGACTTGTAGTTGATCTTTTGGTGTCAGAAGTGGCTTATATGAAAGGCAAAGGCCTCAAGATTACGCTTATTTCATCAAAATAAAATACGATCATGCCTTGATGTGTATTTATTTAATTAGGACAGTAAGGTCTGACTTTGCTTAGACAAAAGTTGTGTCATTTAAAAGAAATAATGTCCAGTATAGAATATAAAGTAATGCTGCAGTGGAAACAGAATGAATATTGTGTCTGACTCCATCATGAGCTTGGAGGACTGCATCCATACATCTCTGCAATGACTCAAATCACTGATTAATAAAGTCATCTGGAATGGCAAAGAAAGCGTTCTTGCTGGACTCCCAGAGTGTTCATCAACATTCTCTGGATTCATCTTCAATGCCTCCTCCTTCATCTTACCGCAGACATGCTTAATAACATCAGGTGACTGGGCTGGCCAATCCTGGAGCACTTTGACCTTCTTTGCTTTCAGAAGCTTTGATGTGGATGCTGAAGTATGAGAAGGAGCGCTATTCTGCTGGAGAATTTGCCCTCTCTTGTGGTTTGTAATGTATTGGGCAGCACAAATGTCTTGATACCTCAGCCTGTTGATGTTGCCATAAACTGCAGATCTCCCTCATACTGAATATAACCCCAAACCATGATTTTTCCTTCACCAAACTTGACTGATTTCTGTGAGAATCTTGGGTCCATGCGGAGCCCAGTGGGTCTTTTACAGCACTGGTTCTCAAACTGTGGTACGTGTACCACTAGTGGTATGCAGGCTTCCTTCTAGTGGTACGCGGAGGAATCGCTGAATAATTAAAGTAAAAAAATGAACACTTTTAACCCTTTGATGCGTACAATAACACGGATGTGATCAGTAAATTGATTTTAATAAATCAGCTAAACCTTTTATTTTATTTTCAATTTTCCAATGTTCTAATGTATTCTATTATTTGAAGCAACAATAATTTCCTCCCCATATTTGTAATTGTTGTTGGGGCGAATCCAGTATTTTTATGTCCCAATTTTGACAGGTATAGTTTAATCACTTGCTTTTCTGACACACAAAACCTACTCTAACCCGCAGTAAGCAGATCTAACTTCTAATTTAAATATGCAAATCCAAATCATGTTTAAAATACAAGTTAATGTTTAGATTTTAAAGATATGCAAATTAGTCCAATATACATGCAACATATATTTAAAAATTTATCAAAAAGAGTTGAATATATGAATACGATGACATATAGCCTATATTTATGAGGTCCAAGGGACATTTCTAGGTTTTGATGAATAGGCTACTTTATGATAACACTTTACATTTAAGCACAGCAGTTTTCTTTTCACTTTTTAAGAACAGTTTCATTTTTAATGAACTTTTAAAAGCACATTTTGATTTAAACATTGATGTTTCATTTCTTTTTTACCTGTAAGCATAGTACAGTGTAAATGTTCAAACTATTTATACTGGTTAAAGTGGCTGACAATAATAAAAATTCATAATAATAGTAATTAATCTGCCTGGCTTTTGAGCTTTGTAGAGTTGTAGCTGCTTAATTAGGCATACACTACTATATTTCAATACCAGTGGTGGTACTTGGAGAGCAATATTTGAGAACCACTGTTCTGCAGTATTTGTGATGATTGGGATGCAGTTCAACAGATGATTCATCTGAAAAATCGACTTTCTGACATTTTCTGAAGTCAAGTTATTATTTGTTGCTCTTACAGCTGAGATCGACGACAAGACTTTTGTCAGGTAGTGTATAATGGAAGTCAATGGGGCAAAAACAGCCACCAACATAACGAAAGGGTAGTGCATTTGAACAATACATAAGGGTAAACATAATAGTTTTAATATCTGATTTTTTATTATCCTCACCGTCTCCTCTGCCAGTTTCTCCAGCTGCTGGATGTACGGTGTGATCAGAGAGTGAAGGTTCCTCAAGATCTCCTCCACAGGTAACGCCGACAGCAGGAAACCCAGAGCCTGCATCAGCCACATACACTGACTGGTCTGCAGACACACACATACACATCCAACACAGGAACAGGTGAACACAGTGGTCTGACATGAAGCCTCCATTCCAGTTCAATTTTTTAAACACAGATGAATTGTTCACCACAAAACTAGCAATGTGAGCTAACCAAATCAATATGGTTAGTTTTGATTTCACGTGTCCATTAACAGATTTCAACAGGCTCATTGGAAGTTCATGCTTCAGCATAGATTTTTCAATTCCGAAGCAGAGCGCTAAATGCTAATACTTTATCAACTATAAATTTAGCTATATCAGAGTGAAAAATCAACAATGGAAACATAAACTCACCTTGTGGATCTGTTTAATAAGCACTTCCTAAAAAAAACGAGAGAGAGAGATTAGGTAAACAGTGTGACACAAACAAAATAGAGGATGAAACACACTTCCTTCTGTTTTGCCCCAAATACACCACGACTAGAGAAATATTTTTTCCCCCAATTTGAAACATTGATCAATTCATTTTTTAATTTAAATGACTCAGAAAAACTTTACCATATACTCGGAGAGGACGAATTGACATCTAGACTAGCTGCAAAATATGTATACACCCTACACACCATAAGAAATGGTTAATGTAAATTTGTGTATCTTATTTAAATAATTTACATTTTTTCAAATTATTATATTTATCAAATGTATTGTTTTTTTGTGTGTGTGTCATTATATCTTATCTGTATTACTATTCATTTTTCAATGGTTTTATTATATTTCATATTTGAAGTGCTTTGGCAATACTGTACTTAATGTCATGCCAATAAAGCAACTTGAACTTGAGAGAGAGAGAGAGAGAGAGAGAGAGAGAGAGAGAGAGAGAGAGAAAGAGAGAGAGAGAGAGAGAGAGAGAGAGAGAGAGAGAGAGAGAGAGAGAGAGAGAGAGAGAGAGAGAGAGAGAGAGAGAGAGAGAGAGGGAGAGAGAGACGGGCCGGCACAGACAAACATGGCTGCCGGTGGAGGAGCGGCTGTGCCCACACTGCCCTCAGCAGCCGATTGAAACAGAACTGCACTTCCTTACGTAGTGCACAAAATACTCAGAGATCCGGGAGAAGTTCTACCCGAAACTCACACACACACACACACACAAAAACTTTGAGTCCCTGTCAAACAATGAGAAACTGCCCATCCTACTGGGGGAGTGTGTGTGCTGCTGTGTGTTAGCAGCTCAGTTTGTGCACTCCTGCCACCGTCTGAGGAACCCACAATGATCCGCTCCACTGTCTCCAACACACAACATAGGAACTCTTTACTCGTGGACTTACTGTTTATATTATTGTCACCACTTTTATCCTGTTTCACAAATTACCATTGATCTATTTTTATTTTTATTAATATTTTTAGTTTTACTGATATATTGTTATTTTTCTTAATCTATTTTTATTTTCTTACATTTCTTTTCTTTATTTCTATATTATATTTTATGTTCATATTTGTTTGCACTACAGCCCTTTTTGCACTGTCTTGTCTGTACGCAGCGACGCTGCACTGCTTTGGCAATACGAATGTACAGCTATTTGTCATGCCAATAAAGCACCTAAAATGTGAAAAGAAAAATGAGAGAGAGAGAGAGAGAGAGAGAGAGAGAAAGAGAGAGAGAGAGAACACCACAGTCATTCAGAGGTGAAAACAGTGCGAGTTTGTAACAATGGAACAAACAGTATGACAAATATTAAAACGACTACAGTGGTAATACAAGACTGAGTAGAATTTTTGGTGTGTCGTATTTAAATCTGATTCACTACTGAGGTTTTGAGTAAAAAAGCTATGAGAGCTGTTGTCATACACTCTCAGAAATAAAGGTATGTGAGCTGTCACTGGGATGGTACTTTTTCAAAAGGTACAAAATTTGTACCTTATGGCCCGTTTCCACTGAGTGGAAAAAGTATTACTTTTTATTTCATGTATTAAGGTTTTAGTTACAATATTCCCAAAATCATCCTGCATAAATCTGCAGATTTAAAAAAACAATTTAATAAATAGCAAAAAATGTCTGCAGATTCTGTCTGGCCCTAGTTATAAGGCTAAGTGTATAGCATTTCTAAATGACATTTAAGTATTACAATAAGAATTGTTCAACAATGTAAACCAAATTAAACCACAGAACGGTGATACAAACTGAACCAACAATTTTGTGAACTCCAAGTGTGTTCTTCGCATTATCTAAACAAGAGAGCAAAGCTTTTACACCACAGTGAAAATGTTGTTTTAAACGTGACAAAACATGTCTGAATAAAAAGTAGTTCTTGCTAAAAGAAAGTACTGTTTTTGTTGTTAATTAATTGCTAGGCAACAAATGCAACAAATGCACGGGGAAAATACAACACATTTTCTTTGTGTTTTGATATTTGAATTAAACCAACAATGTTTGAATGAAATACACTGTAAAAATACGTTAATTAACAGTATCCGCATTTTGTGATTTTTTTTGGTCACACTTTACAATAAGGTTCATTAATTAATGTTAATTAATTCATTTACTAAGATGAACAAACAATGAACAATACATCTACTAATGTATTTGTTCATGTTAGTTAACGTTAGTTAATGAAAATACAGTAGTTCATTGTTAGTTCATGTTAACTCATGGTGCATTAACTAATGTTAACAAGCATGGACTTGGATGTTAATAATGCATTAGTAACTGTTTAATAATGATAAATAAATGCTGTACAAGTGTTGTTCATGATTAGTTCATGTTAGTAAATGCATTAACTAATGAACCTTATTGTAAAGTGTTACCTTTTTTTGTTTATTTACGATTGTGTATTGGATTACGGGATGTTGATCTCTGCTCTGTCCACTTTTGATGATAAAAAATTCAACTCTACAGTTTAACAAAGTGACTTTCATTCATTCATTCATTTTCTTGTCCGCTTAGTCCCTTTATTAATCCGAGGTCGCCACAGCGGAATGAATCGCCAACTTATCCAGCAAGTTTTTACGCAGCGGATGCCCTTCCAGCAGCAACTCATCTCTGGGAAACATCCACACACACATTCACACACACACTCATACACCATGGACAATTTAGCCTACCCAATTCCCCTGTACCGCATGTCTTTGGACTGTGGGGGAAACCAGACACGCGGAGGAAACCCACGCGAAGGCAGGGAGAACATGCAAACTCCGAACCAGCGACCTTCTTGCTGTGAGGCGACAGCACTACCTACTGCGCCACTGCCTCGCCCACAAAGTGACTTTGATTGACATTTTAGCAGTGGTGTAAAGTAACTAATTACAAATACTTCAATTACTGTAATTGAGTGGTTTTTCTCGGGAATTGTAATTCACTTAGTAGTTTTATAAATGTGTACTTTTACTTTCCCTTGAGTGCATTTTTAGTGCTGTATCGATACGTTTACTCCACTACTTTGCTTCAACCTGCAGTCACTACTTTATTTTTTCTTGTCTATGGGGATTAGAAAATCAGTCCTGTGATTGCTGTTCAATCAAATCTCACATAGAAGGTAAATCACATCATAATGAACTACCACAAGACATGGGTGATTTATAATTGCAGCAAACTGTTTGGTAGCATTAAACGCGTCTACGAAGATGTCCAAAGTCTTTACACGCATTGACCCAGAGACTGTTTAGATGCATGTGACTGTTGAGAAGATGATGGATGTTTACTGTGTGATGACCGAAATGGCCTTAAACACCCAGCAGGCACAAGAGGTCAACATGACATCAGATTGACGTTGTCCCCCAATGTCATGGGGGCGTTGCATTTTGTTTTGAAATGAAAACAGTGTTGACATCAGAAATCAACGTTAGGCAAACATCAATGTCCAACCTAAAACCAACCAAATATCAACGTTTAATAATGATGTTCTATCAGACCTTTGATTTTGGTTGCCATAACTGATAAATAAATATCAGTATTTGACGTCAATATGATATTGGTTTAAAGATGTTGGCTCGACATTGGATTTTGGTCACTTTCTTACAACCTAAAATTAACCAAATATCAGGCCTCAAGATCTGATGTTATATTTACACTTGGTAAAAATTAAATATTCAATTAGAGGTTCTAGCAAATTCTCATATGTATGGCAACCATTATTAACATATTTCTCTGCTATAAGTGTACTTCCTGGGGAATAATGTGACTGTCTTGTATGTAACTGGAATCTTTTTTCTGTAATCCCTTTGTCCTTTCTTTCTCTGTCCAGAATCTCAAGCTTCTTCCATGTTAACTTACCATTGTAAGATAGCACAGCCTTATCCCTCATTGAATCACCCATTACTGTTGTCACTCTATTTCTATATGTATTTATAATTGTTTTATTTATGTATGTATGTATTTATTTATTTATTTTTTATTTTTTTATTTTTATTTTTTATTTTTAAAAGATTTGGCAGCCCTTTTTTACATTTTTTAAAAATTCATTATTATTTTTTTTATAATTACTTTTGTTTTAATTTTTATTTATTTATTTATTTTTATCGTTCTTTAGGCAGTGTATTTAGGGGTCGTTAAAGTGGGTTTTATATGTATAAAAATGTCAATTTTCTGTATAAATAATGTAACTTGTTCTTGGCATAAAAAATAAAGGGAAAAAAAATAAAATTAAATTAACCAAATATCAATGTCATTTAACATCATTATTGGCCATCAAAATAACGTTATCCTTAGACGCTGACTAGACATTGAATTTTGGTCACCTGACGTCACAACCTAAATCTAACCTAATATTAACATCTTATGACGTTGTGTGCCTGCTGGACAATAACTAAATGCACTACAGAATGTTACGTTTACACACAACCACAAACTGCATGTAAACACATCAGCTTTTAACAGTGTAACACTCACTACTCTTGAGTACTTTTGAAAGGTCTACTTTTTACTCCTACTTTAAGTAATTTTTACAACAGGAACTTTTACTCGCACTACATTTTTAGGCAAGTAATGGTACTTTTACTTGAGTATGCTTTTTCATTACTCTTTCCACCACTGCATTTTAGTAGTTTAAAATAATATAATCATTACAACGTTTAAGAAATAATAAATAAAGAAATAAGTCTGTAATTTAACAGAAAATGTGCTGACAGTTTATTAAAGTTTTTGTAGTGTAATATACAACACCAACCCAGACAATATATCACTTTAAACTATTAAAAATGTCAATAAAAAGTCACTTTTTTTTAACTATTCAAGGTTAAAAGTTGTTGGAAGAAAGATTAAGATCCCATAATGCAATTCAGCACCATAAATAAACAATAAAAACATGAATCACAAAATACAGAAAACTGCTACAGTGTACACGGTACATGTTGTCAAAAATTCAGCATTTTTTAGTTTTATTTTTATTGCTAAATGTATGAAAATGGTCAAAATGACTGCCTGGATATTTCTGGTGTTAAAGCGGGTAATACCTGTGACACGGCGACTATATTGGTGGCGTACGGCGGCAGATCGTATTTGCACTCTCTGCAGATCTTCTTGAGCGTGGAGACGCTGGAAACAGACAGATCTGGATTCCCCAGCGCCTGTAAAACCAGTGGCAGGACACTGCTCAACATCACCGGATGATCGGCCAGCCACTCCGCCAGCGCTCCTGCAGAGACAGAACAAAAACAGCTTAAATATCTTCAAAATATCCCCACTGAAAATCTGCATAGACAAATCAATGTGTGTGATGGTAAGGAATGAACACTTGTGAAAACAGGCTAAACCACAGTGCACGATTAATGACATTTTCCTAAAGCAAAGCAAGTGTTTTCTAATGTGCCATGCTGAAAAAAACGATATGCAATAGAATGCTAATTAACGATATACTCAGAACGAAAACTATATTTGCTTTGGATCTTGTGTTTTGCAGTCAAAATGCACAAAAATCTTGTATGTACCTTTGGAAAATGGCAAAGAAATGGATGCTTATTGCAAACCAATGTGATATGTACAGTTGAAGTCAGAATTATTAGCCCCCCTTCGAGTTTTTTTTCTTTTTTTATGTTTACTAAATGATGTTTAACAGAGCAGGGAAATTTTCACAATATGTCTGACAATATTTTTTCTTCTGGAGATAGTGTTATTTGTATTATTTCGGCTGGAATAAAAGCAGTTTTTAATTTTTTAACATAATTTTAAGGTCAATATTATTAGCCCCTTTAAGCTATATTTTTTGATAGTCTACAGAACAAACCATCATTATACAATAACTAATTACCCTAACCTGTCTAATTAACCTAATTAACTTAGTTAGTCAGTTTAAGCTGTATAGAAGTGTCTTGAGAAATGTCTAGTCAAATATTATTTACTGTCATCATGGCAAAAATAAAATAAATCAGTTATTAGAAATGAGTTATTAAAACTATTGTGTTTAGAAATGTGTTGAAAAAAATTTGCTCTTCGTTAAACAGAAATTAGAGAAAAAAAATAAACGAGGGCTAATAATTCAGGGAGGCTAATAATTTCAACTGTTTATTCGATTCGATTTCTTGCATAGCCTTAATGCAGCGTTTAAAAAAAAATCACACACACCTATTGTGAACATGACGGTGTCAGCCAGCTGGACGTTGTTGATGTTGATTCTTGGTATGAGGCCGATGAGTCCTGGGATCACGTCTGAATAATTCACATCTATAGTTTCGGCGATGGACTGAAAGCCGTACAACAGCGCTTCTGTGTGCTGGAGAAAAATACAGAGGATTTGGTTTAAAAACACAACAGGGTTATTACAGTAAAAAAAAAACGTCAAGTTTAGTTTACAATCTAAAATGTTCAATAACAAGTTTTAAAAATGTTGCCATGGAAATATTTCTGATGTTTTTGTTTGATGTTGTAAAACATCTGAAACTGAATTTAATAAAATATATATATACAGACTTAAAAAAACCTAAAAAATGACAAACACACACACGCGCACACACAAAATGAATTGTGTAATTTTACTTTATTTCGTAATTAAATGCTGTAAAGGAAAAATAAGAATTGCTTGAATGGTTTTCTTACAATTGTTTTAGATAAAATGTGATATCTTAATTTAATATATTTAATTTATTTCATCTTAAAATATTTATTAATTTAGTGTATTCTATTGCACCAGATTAAACAGTGTAATTAAAGGAACACACTCACGCACGCACGCACACTCACTCACTCACTCACACACTTTTTTTTCTCATAGAGGGTCCATTTTTGTAAAACAACTTAAACTGAATTAAATATAAAAACTATAAATGACAAATACAACAAAAATAGTGTATTTTTACTTTACTTTTGTAATTAAAGGTTGTAAAATAAAATAAGAATTGTTTATAATAAGAACGTTTTCCAAAATACTCTTATTTTACACAAAATAAATACATTAAATCAAACATTTTTATTTAATGCCATGTCAGCAGCAATGCAACAATGACTTTTTCACAGCAAAAAAACATGAATAAATATACAATTAAACACCAAAAAATTCATACATAAATCAGATATATTTTTAACATTAATATATGATTAAAATAAATCCTAGTGATACATCCAAATAAGCACAATCCTACGCAATTAATAAATTAGAGCCATTTAGCAGAAATTTGAGCTGCTCATGTGTTAAACGAAACAGTGCCACGCTTCACACTAAAACAAGAAGCTTATTTACTATATTTCATTTATTCAATATCTTTTGTGCGATGCAATTTTGTGGTATTTTTTATTTATTTATTTATTTGTTGACATGTTTAGCAGCCTCAACTCAGAGTGAGATAGCAATACTGATGAGTAACTGTATTATATTTTCTGACCTGCCATGTTGTTGTTTGCTCTGTGTTAGTGAGGAGTCGCCCCAGTTTGTCGTACAGGTTACTGAGTAATTCAGCTCCCAGCATCTCATAGACGTACATCAGTGTGTCAGAGATATCCACCCTAAAAGAGTCAAACAGCACAGAAGGGGGTTATTTGATCAAATCTTCACTGCTAAAAAGAACAGCACAAACTTAGGGTGCTTTCACATAGGGGTGTCAAAATTAATTGTTTCTTCGGTGCACCGCGATGCAGACGCGGACAATTCGGTATCGGTTCAGTAATAATCATAACCGGTTATTATGTACTGACGTCATTTATCTCCTATGCTCTCTGTCGCGAGGGAGGTGAGCGCGAGTATTTACAACACTCAGCCAACTCAGGGCCGGCCCGTGGCATAGGCACCATAGGCAAATGCTAAGGGCGCTGTATATCCAGGGGGGCGCCAGAAATGAGCGCGGTTCAGTTGGTTTTGTTTTCGATATTCTTGACACACATTCAGTTACAGACGGCAATATCTCAAAAACCTCTTACCCTAAAAAGATCTAAAGTGTGTTTCCAACAAAAAGACAAAGCTGGTTGTGTTTCACAGCTGTCTTTCTTTTTTTCGCTCGACATTACGAGCACTGCTCCGTTTAAGCCCTCGCAATATGTGTTTAGCCGGGATAGCTAACGCTGAGAGGAGCTCTCAGCAAGGGACCGTCGGAAAAGTGCTTCTTTTCTTTTTTTTTCTGCTCCGCTCTTCGCGAGCTCTCCCTGTTGCGAGGGCTTAAGTGTGTGTGTGCGTGTGTGTGTGTGTGTTTGTTTGTTTGTTTGGTGCTGTTTATGTTTGTGTTTGAATGAGAGACAGTGTGTTGCTGTGTGTCTGTGTGTTTACAGACAGCTTGTTATAGCCTCTCCTCTAAAATATAACACTGGATATGGAAAGCATCGTCAATGCACCGTGATGCACCGAAATATCGAATTGAACCGAATCGAAGGCATGATAATCGTATAGACCAGTATAGGTTCACACCTCTACTTTCACACCTGTGAATTGATTCAGTTGTTCGGAAACAGAGATTACAATTGTTACATTGTTGCTCTTTGCTCTTGGAGCGGTTCGCTTTCACACTGTAAAGTTTCTAATCAAGCAAGATCATCACTCGTTTGCGGGCATCTGGAGACTTGTGAAACTTCCCGCCCTACTCATAATTCTCTCTTCATACAGCCGTATGCCTATTACATATCCATAAAACTCTGTGATATAACCGCGCTCGGATCGTTTGCTTTCTCACTGCAGTCGATCCGCTCCAGAGTTTGTTTCAATCGAGCCGAGACACCTCATTCAAGCGATCTCGGAGCGATTGATTTGGCACGGATCCAAGAGCGATTGCTGGTTTCACATATGCCAAACGAACCGCGCTAACTGGGCAAATGAGACAGGTTCTGAAACAAAAGTGTAGGTGTGAAAGCACCCCAAGTCTTTTAGTTGAATTCATTTCTGGTGCTGGGCAAAAATTAATCACATACAAAATTAAGTTTGTTTTGACATGATATATGTTTGTGTACTGAGTATATTTTTCTTATGTATATATGAATACACACATGCATGCATATATTTGAGAAAATGCTAATTTCTTTACACTCACTGGCCACTTTATTAGGTACACCTTACTAGTAACGGGTTGGACCCCCCGTTTGCCTTCAGAACTGTCTTAATCCTTCGTGGCATATATTCAACAAGATATTTGAAATCCTCCTCAGAGATTTTGCTCCATGTTGACATGATAGCATCAAGCAGTTGCTGCAGATTTGTCAGCTGCACATCCATGATGCTAATCTCCTGTTCCACCACATCCCATAGCTGCTCTATTGGATTGAGTCTGGTGACTGTGGAGGCCATTTGAGTACAGTGAACTCATTGTCATGTTCAAGAAACCAGTCTGAGATGATTTACTCTTTATGACATGGTGCGTTATCCTGCTGGAAGTAGCCATCAGAAGATGAGTACACTGTGGCCATAAGGGATGGACATGGTCAGCAACAATACTCAGGTAGGTTGTTGCGTTGACACAATGCTCAATTGGTACTAATAGACCCAAAGTGTACCAAGAAAATATCCCCCACAGCATTACACCACTACTACCAGCCTAAATCATTGATACAAGGCAGGATGGATCCATGCATTTACGTTGTTGATGCCAAATTCTGACCCTCCCATTCTGAATGTTGCAGCAGAAATCGAGACTCATCAGACCAGGCAACGTTTTTCCAATCTTCTATTGTCTAATTTTGATGAGCCTGTGTGAATTGTAGCCTCAGTTTCCTGTTCTAAGCTAACAGGAGCGGCACCCGGTGTGGTCTTCTGCTGCTGTAGCCAATCCGCCTCAAGGTTAAACGTGTTGTGCATTCAGAGATGCTCTTCTGCAGACCTCGGTTGTAATAAGTGCTTATTTGAGTTTCTGTTGCCTTTCTATCAGCTGGAACTAGTCTGACCATTCTCCTCTATTCTCTGGCATCAACAAGTCATTTGTGCCAACAGAACTGCCGCTCACTAGATATTTTCACTTTTTCGGACTATTCTCTGTAAACCCTAGAGATGGTTGTGTGTGAAAAGCCCAGTACATCAGCAGTTTCTGAAATACTCAGACCAGCCTGACCACTTGGCCATGTCTACACGCCTAAATGCATAAATGCATTGAATTGCTGCCATGTGATTGGCTGATTAGAAATTTGCACGACCTAGCAGGTGTACCTAATAAAGTGGCCGGTTAGTGCATATAACAATTTAAAAATAAATATTAACATATATATTTATTAAATAAATAAATAAAAATAAATATTTACATATATATATTTTCTATGCAAGTGTGTGAATCACATACATAATAAGTGTATATAATACACACACACATAAATACATTATGTTAAAATAAACCTTTTTTGGATGCAAATAATGTGATTAATCTTTGCCCGGCACTATTCATTTTCAAAGGAAATCCATCAAAAAACTTTAGCCACACACATTTTTAATACTAAATTCTTATTTGATTGCATTTTAAATTTAATCAGGGACGAAGCACATTTATAGTACATATTGTGCAAAATGCACCAAATTAATTCTGAATTAACACTGAATCATGTTCATTGGGAAAACTCATGCACAGCATGGATGCAGGCACGCACACACACCTGTAGATCCTGAACTGCTCCTTCTCGTCTGAAGACCAGGAGGCGTACTCTTCATCAGTGGGAAACTGGGCTTTATGAAGCAGAACGTCCACGAGCTGGAAATACACTGGCCTGTAGACCTGCAGATACACGGCCTGCTTCTCTGCCTCAAACGACATGATGTCATCCTGAAACACACCCACAAACAGCAGCAATTCAACACTGAACCACTGATAAAGCAGAGGTCAGTGCAGCCAGACTGTCAGTATCATGCAGATATTTAAATGAATCAATAATTTGAATGGATTTGAGTACTTTTTGTTTTGCAACAGTGTAACTACAATAGAAAAGAAACTGATGGCAGGTACAGTTGAAACCAGAAGTTTACATACACTGTATAAAATGGCATACATAACCATTTAAAAAAAGTCAGATGTACTTTTTCTCTTTTAGGTAAGTTAGGATTATCACATTTGTTTCTGTTCTGCTTAATAGCAGAATAATGAGAGAGATATTTCTTTTGAGAAATTGTTATAACTTTTCTTGGAAGTCAAGTTTACATACAATAAGATTATTCTGCCTCTGAAAAAGCTCAGATGATGATGTCAAGGTTTTGGAAGTTTCTGATTGGCTAATTGACAACATTTGAGTTCATTGGAGGCACAACTGTAAAATAGTATTTAAGGAAAACCTTAAACTTTCTGCTTCCTTGTGTGACAACATGGTAAAATCAACAAGCCAGAATCAACAAAAAAGCCAGATTACAATTTGCTAAATTACAATGGGAAAAAGACTGATTTTTGGAGATGTGTCCTGTGGTCTGATGGAACTAAGATTGAACAGTTTGGCCATAATGACCAGAGTTACATTTGGAGGACAAAGGGGAAAGCTTACAAGCCTAGGAACACCATCTTAACTGTGAAGTATGTGGGCGGCAGCATCATGTTGTGGGGCTATTTTGCTGCAGGAGGGACTGGTCCACTTCACAGCATAGATGGCATCATGAAGAAAGAACATTATGTAGAAATACTGAAGCAACATCTCAAGACATCCGCCAGGAAATTAAAACTTGGCCACAAATGGGTCTTCCAAACAGACTATGAGCATAAGCATACTGCCAAATTAGTTAAAATGGGCTTTAAGGACAACAGAGTGAATGTTTTGGAGTGGCCATCACAAAGCCCTGATCTCAATCCTATAGAAAATTTGTGGGGAGAGTTGAAAAAGCCGACAAATCTCACTGACCAATTCTGTTAGGAGGAATGGGCCAAAATTCCTTTAAACTATTGTGAAAAGCTTGTGGAAGGATACCCACAACATCAATACCAAGGAAATGTTTGTAAACTTTAGATTTTTTAGAAATAGATAAAAAATTCTCAAAAAAAATCTCTCATTATTCTGTCATGTATCAAATGTTAATCATTTAGGTAATCCTAACCGACCTAAAATAGTAAATGTTCATTTTTTTAAAAATGCTTATGTTACTTTTTTTTTTAGAGTGTGTGTGTAAACTTCTAGTTTCAACTGTATTGCATAGCTTAAGCAAACTCTAAAATGTATTTGAAATAATTTGATATAATAATAATAACAATAATAATAATAATAATAATAATAATAGAAAATAAACTTTATTATAAAATTCAAAAAGTGAAATCACACACAATATAACATACAATAATGTGAGCTATTAAATTATTAACTTTTGACTATCACAGCTAAGAGTAATATTTAACATACATTTTATAGCAAAACACCAACATTTATATGAAAAAAAACTTTTTTTAAATCATTTGATGAACTAATAATAATACTAATAAATAATAGTTATTAATGAAATAAAATCATGTTAAAAAGGATTCAAAAAGTGAAATTACATACAATAAAAGTTGAAATCATGTGTGTTATTAACTCAATAAATTATTATTGTATCTAAAAGTAATATATACCAACACAAAAACATACATTTTATAGGAAAACATCAACATTATCAGCAAATATTCTTTGAATTAAAATTATATATATCAACCTAGAAGCATATATAATAATAATAAGACAAAAATCTGTGCGCTCATGAAAGGTTTGTATTCAGAGGTTTATATGTTATTGTCAATATTTCGTTTCTCCTATTTTCATTTCATTGTCGTTGCAAAATATATGTAATAGGATTGGGTGGATAGACGATGCCATCATCCATCGCTGATGGACAATAGACAACATGATGCTGAGCCGCCATCACGATCCTAGAATGTAAAGTCAATCATCCAATGTATTTATGACGATTAAAATATGTACGTTAAATATAAAACTAACTATAAATAAACTAACTTCACCTTTAAACATAAAAAATGAAATATGTCTCTAACAGACTGGTAACGTTCAAGGACAAAAGCGAAGGACATTTATGAATATTCAAGACATGACACACACAGCGGTAAACACAGCACAGGTGGAGATTCAGATACTGTGTGAAGGACAGTTCAATGTCTAACAGAGACTCTCCATCAATGCTGGACACACACACACACACACGGACACACACACACACACACACACGGACACGGACACACGCACGGACACACGCACGGACACACGCACGGACACACGCACGGACACACGCACACGCACACACACACACACACACACACACACACACACACACACACACACACACGCACACACGCACACACACACACACACACACACACACACACACACACACGCACACGCACACGCACACGCACACATGCACACACGCACGCTTGCACACAATATGACATTTTGTTGAGCCTTACAATAACTATATTTCTTGCAATATAAAGGTTTCCTTTCTTTAAATTATTCATTCATGTAATAATTATACATACTTAAATAAAGTTTACGCAAAAAAAATAATGTCAAGGTGCAAAAATGTAGACTTTAAAAGAGATGTTTAGATTCTTATTGGCTGTCTTAATACTCATTTCCCTCTCTCGTCTTGACTCTGGTCGTTAGTATTTCTATTCAGTTCTTTGCTCGAGGCAATCACATTGCTTTAGGGCCGTACTCACAGTATGCTACCCAAACCTTGCCCAGGCCCCTTTCCCGGATCGTTTGAGAAGTGTGAGTGCACTGAATTGGGCTCAAGCACGGTGAACTTGGCCAGCTCTGGCCCGGTTGGAAGAGGTGTGCCTGAGCACGGTTCACTTGGGCTTTGGCGCGGTACGCTTGTGTGTGAGTGCAAATTGCGCCTAAGCCCGAAACTGAAAGCGAGACGTGACTTTAAGAGGCTGTTTCATATGGATTTATTAATCATTCTTACTGTTCAGTGAACGCAAACTGTCGTAGATTATTAAATACGAAAACCCCTCACTGCACGACAGCTGCGCGCCTTCAGCAGACCTCCTCATTGCGGTTGCACGAGGACTTTATGATTGTTTATGAGCGTCAAAAGCGGCTGATCTGTTAAGTGAAATATTTGACTGCGTGTCACTGCATATCAAACGAAAGAACTAAAGAAATCTCCACATGTCAATATCATCTGTGCAATATCAGACACCACCCATGAAAACACAGCACAGTTATTATTGTTAACTAATAATAGAGCCGGTAAATTAAAATCAGAGAAATCCTCTTGCGTTTTTGTTTTTGCTGTAACGCAAAAATACCGAACAGTGACACCACTGTGTCGTGTCGAACCCAACCGTGATTTTCGTGAACCGTTACACCCATAATAAATACATTTATATGTTCATTCTTTTTCTAAAAACCTAAATATAAAACACTTTCAAGGATTTAAATGGGTCATGAGAGTCTTGTGAAAATGTTCCATATATTGCAGCTCTCAGTGATCTAGATCAGTGGTTCCCAACCTTTTTCTTTGGGGCCCCCCCCATGAACGTATACAAACATTGGAGCCCCCCCAACATATAAATGCACACGCACGCACACACATATGTACTGTATATATATATATATATATATATATATATATGTGTGTGTGTGTGTGTGTGTGTTTGTGTAATATTAATATATAGTAATATGTATAGAAAATATTAAATAATCAGTTTTATCTTGTCTTGGCCTTCAATAAAACCAAAATTTAGGTAGGCTTTGTCATACTGTCTAATCTTTTTCTTCGCCTCTGAAGAATCACTGCATTTACGTTTGTCTGCCATTTTTGTTTTGATTTTGCCTTTACAACACGTTGACAAGCAGATTGCGCGAGTGAGCAAAATTTGAATAATTATTTAAAGTTATTTATTTTAATTATTTTCACTATTATGTTGGAATTTTAAGCATGCGTTTAGATTATTATTTTTTTTTTGGTACTTAAAAATACATTTATAATAGTAGGGCTGCTCGATTTTGGGAAAATCATAATAACGATTATTTTGGTCCTAATTGTAATCACGATTATTCAAAACCATTGCCAGTTAAAGTCAAAATTATTAGCGCTCCTGAGATTTTTTTTTATAAATATTTCCCAAATTATGTTTAACAGAGCAAGGAATTTTAACAGTATTTCCTATAGTATTTTTTCTTCTATTTGTTTTATTTTAGCTAGAATAAAGACAGGTTTAAATATTTTGAAACCAATTTAAGGTCAATATTATTAGCCCCCTTAAGCAATATATAATTTTGATTGTCTGCAGGATAAACTACCGTTATAATGACTTGCCTTATTACCCTAATTAAGCCTTTGAACTGCACTTTAATCTGAATGCTTGTATTTTGAAAAATATCTAGTAAAATATTATGTGCTGTCATTATAGCAAAGACAAAAATAAATCAGTAATTAGAAATGAGATATCAAAACTATTATGTTCAGAAATAAGTTAATAAAATATTCTTTCCCTGAAACAGAAATTGGGCAGGAAAAGGTTTGCTAATATTCAAGAGGGCTAATAATTCTGACTTCAACTGTATATACAGTATATACACTTTCCCTGCAAAGGAAAGAGAAATAAATACAATAGAATAAAAAATGAAACAAACTGTGCTTTAAGCATCTTCACTGTAAGAAAAACACTTTAGCTACAGCAGTCCTTCAGTCAAGAGCAGCGAGGGTTTTCTTGTTATGTTGGTTTAATAATAATAAAAACAGGCGGCAGCAGGAATATTTCTCGCTGTCTCTTTAATGGTTTCTCACACGTCTTTTGATCCTCAACTCGTTTGTTTATTACACAAATGAGGGTTAATGTAAATAATCACTAAACACCGCGTTTTGACACCTATTTGACTATTAAAGCGCTCACGTTAAGATGACTTTAGATGTCTGCGCTCCTCTGCTCGTCTTAGTGTGTAAATGAGAGCGAATGCTGAGCGGCCGCATGCTTCTGACTGCGTGATCATGCTGCACACACACATAAGCTCTTTCGCGCTTTTAAGAGCAACACGTGTACAACTGTGGCGAAATATGATGCAATAATCAATTATCTCGATTAATGCTTTTTTATAATCGTTTGAAACCGAAATCTAAATCGGATTTTCGATTAATTGCAAAGCGCTTTATAATAGTGGAGCATTTTTATGCTTTTTCTACCTCAATACTTATCTTCTCCCGCGCCCCCCCCGTGAACTCTGGCGCCCCACTTAGGGGGGCGCGGACCCCAGGTTGGGAACCACTGATCTAGATCAGGGGTGGCCAACCCTGTTCCTGGAGAGCCACCTTCCTGCAGATTTCCCCTGTTCCTGGAGAGCCACCTTCCTGCAGATTTCAGTAGCAACCCATATCAAACACACCTGCCTGTAATTATCACGAGGTGTTCAGGTCCTAATTAGTTGGTTCAGGTGTGTTTGATATGGGCTGCAACTGAAATCTGCAGGAAGGTGGCTCTCCGGGAACAGGGTTGGCCACCCCTGATATAGATCATGCGTTGACTATTATCTCATTTTCAATATATAGTGCAGCCCTACATCACTTGTACTCGTTCCAGAAGTGGTTTCTCTCAGATTTCTGTGATAGTAGGTCTCTCTTACCTGCAGTGTGTACCAGAAGGTGAGTGTGAGAGAGCTGGTGGTCTCGTTGACAGGGTAGTGTCCCGGGATGCCAGTGCAGAACATGATCATATTCACCAGTGCCAGGAAACTCTGCCAGTGCTCCACCTGCTCCAGCAGAGCTCTGAGAGAAGAGGAAGAGGAGAAGAACACACCTTCAGCACAACACTCAACTCACCATACAAACCTACATTTTTTTTTTTAATGCACCACTAGCAGGGCTCGCTAAATTTTTAAATCACTGGTACTCTTCAGTTTTGGTAGCCCGAATATAAATTTAAGCGACCCATAAGCTGCCCCATGTTTAAATGAAAGGAGAAAATGGGATCTATTGTGTTGCTAACGTCAAACGTGCTGCATCTCTGTCTGTCAGTGTGCCAGAGCTCTGACGCAAAAAGCTGAAATTTCAGCAAAACTGCCTGTAGGTGTAACACGCCTGACCGAAATCAAGTTTGAGTCTTCGAGTGGGACGCGCC